TCCTTCTCTCCCTCTCTGTTTCTCTCCGTTCCGCCACGGTTGATTGAGTCGTGCGGAGAGGAAGGAGAAATATAAAAGGAACGGATATATCAAAATAAAAGCTCAGTTGAATACACGATAAGATAAGCGTTCATCGTTACATGGCGACCCTGACAAATTGAACCTCACCCTTCTGATCGTCAAGATAAAAAAAAATATATAGAAAAGGTTATCAACAAGCATGGCATCCGAAAAGTTACAGTCGAACAAGCAGTGCAGAAATTGTCTGAAGCTAACAGTAGCAATAATACACGTCTGAATACCTTGGAAACAAAACTGCAAGAAAAACAACAACAATTGGAACAGGTGGCTGACAACCTTCGGGATATGAAAATAGAACTCCAAAAACTTTGTGAAGTCTTGGAATTGAAAACATTGAAAAAAAACAATCATAATCAGCTTATAGAAGAGAACACCTCGACAGCACATGCGCAACACAACTCATCATCAATCAACGAATCACTCGATAATGGCCATTCTGATCAAAACAACATGTCGGATCATGGACATCACACTGCGATCAACACACAACAATCATCATCAGTCGGATACACAACCATCATCATCCCACCAACTTCAGCAATACCAACATTCAGTGGAAACATTCTCGAAAACCCTCGCCAATTTCTTATTCGCGCCAAAGAATATGCTGAAACAATAAATCATTGGAACAATTAACCTTTACTCAATGGCATATCACAGTTTCTTCGTGACACGGCTCTCGAATGGTACTGTCAATTGCGTATCTCAAATCGACGACCACAAACATGGACGGAATTTACGACACTCTTTTTCAATCAATTTAATTCACCAATGCGACGAGCACGACAAGAACAACAATGGAAGAACTGTAAACAGGAAGAAAATGAAACAATAAATGAATTTATTGTTCGCCTTCGTGCTCTGTGGTAAGAACAGAAGCCGAATGAAACAGAAGATAATCTCGTACGACACTTGATGTGCAAGATGCGAAACAACTTATTAACACTGATTGTGGTATCTCGATGCGGATCATTAGATGAAATTATTACAGAAGCACAAAAAATTGAAGAAATACTCTATCAAAGAAATATATAGAAATTCAAGTTATAATTCACAGAACAACAACAATGTACAACGACGAGGGTGAATACGAGGTGCAAACTATGTCGACACATCGAATGAACCGACAAACAAAATCATACACAAGAGGAAACTATCCGACAAACAAGAACGTCAATCATTATCAATCTCCTCGACAATCAAACTATGTAACACAAGCAACAACAAATCAAAGAAATATGCAATCAACTGTTGACATACAATGTTACAACTGCGGAAAAAGAGGACACATAAGAAAAAACTGTCCGAACCAATACAATGTATATCAACAACACAATGGGTGGCATCGTCCAAAAAACGACAATGGATCACAGGATGGACGGGCCCATGGCACTCCGATGTAAATTATCCCGTCCAACTATCCGCCAAAATTCACACTATAAACATTCACAACAGCAGTCGGTTAATACTACCCGGTATGATAGCAAAAAGACGTACACAACTACTCATCGACTCGGGAGCATCGCTCACATTAATTAATCTCCAATTTTTTCTTCAACTGCCAATATACTATCGTCGAAAAGCGCGTCCTCCTCCATCGAATTTATGTCTCCAATTGGCGGATAGATCACAACTTTATGTCAAATATGTTTTATCACTTCCAATCACCATTTCAAACTCAACACGTACACACAAAGTCTACGTGGTCCCGAAATTATGGCGAACATGTATCATCGGTAATGATCTGATTCATAAGCATAACCTTCATATTGATGGCGGACGACAATACGCTTATTTCAAGAAAAACAAAAAAAACATACAGGTGAAACAGGAAAGAAAAGAAACGATCAACAATGACGACGAATACGTTCTTATCGTGAATGAACGTATTAAACTTTCACCCTTTCATGCATTCAACATTGAAGTCAAACCAAACAAACTATTCTCAGTTATAGAAGAAGAGAACGAAAATGAAGAATACGAAATAACATCAATAAAAGAAACACCATGTGTAGCGAATGGCATTATCACACCACTCGAACATATGACACTACAGGTGGCCAATTTAACAGGACGAACGATTATAATCCATAAAAATCAGCCGCTCGCAACAATGACTCGTCTTAATCAAACACAAATAAACATGATGCAACATGGAACGATGTCATCAACAACAAAACAAACTAAATCAACAGCCGATAACGAAGCAAATTTACTGAATACTGATTTAGAAGAATATCAAAAGGGAAAAATACAACAACTCATTAACAAGTTTCCTGACGTGTTCAATGAGCAGCCAGGAAAAACAAAAAAAATACAACATCAAATTAACTTAATCCCTGGGGCACGACCATTGAATTTACCACCATTTCGGTACGCACCAGTAAGAAAACAAATTATTGAACAAAACTTAAAGGAAATGTTAGATCAAGGAATTATCTCACCATCCACGAGCCCATGGGCATCACCAGTTATATTGGCACCAAAAAAAGACGGAAGTTTACGCTTCTGCATTGATTACCGAAAATTAAACTCAGTAACAATTCGTGATGCATATCCAATACCAAGAATCGATGATACACTAGATTCACTGCAGGAAGCAAAATTCGTATCAACACTCGATTTACGCTCCGGATACTGGCAAGTGGAAATGGATGAAGAAGCAAAAGAAAAAACAGCGTTTGTCACACACAAAGGTCTATTCGAATTTAACGTTATGCCATTTGGATTAACGAATGCTCCAGCGACATTTCAACGACTGATGGACATAGTATTAGCTGGTCTCAAGTGGCAATGTTGTCTTGTATACATTGATGATGTGGTAATTTTTTCACCAACATTCGAACAACATCTGATCGATTTAGAAAAAGTCTTTCAAGCTCTTAGATCCGCAAATCTTACTTTAAAAGCAGCAAAATGTCAATTCTGCCGTCGAGAAATGCGCTATTTAGGACACATTATCACTCAAAATGGCATTAAACCAGATCCAGATTTAATCAAATCAGTAACAAATTTTCCACAGCCGAAAAAGATCAAAGATGTTCAATCGTTTCTCGGCTTAACCGGTTACTATCGTCGATTCATCAAAGATTACTCAAAAAAAGCCGAACCATTATTACAACAACTACGAAATTCTCAAAAAGGCAATCATCAATTGAAATGGCCACAAGAATGTGTTGATGCATTTGAAACATTAAAGAAAAGATTAACAAACGCTCCAATCATGAACACGCCAAACTTCGAACAGCCATTTATATTGGAGCTCGACGCGTGTGAATACGGCCTGGGGGCGGTATTAACACAAGAATATGAAGAAAAGAAATATGTAATAGCATATGCAAGCCGAACATTATCAACAGCAGAGAGAAGATATGGAGCAACAGAACGAGAAGCATTAGCGATCGTGTGGGCGATAAAACATTTTCGTCCATACCTCGAAGGAAACAAAATTTATATTAGAACAGATTGTAAAGCATTAGAATGGATGCGAACGGCAAAAGATATAACAGGTAGATTAGTCCGATGGGCAATGAAATTATCGGCTTATCAAATTGAAGAAATTAAATATCGACCAGGAAAATCAAATGCAAATGCCGACTCATTATCTCGCAATCCATTACCGAATGATAGGGTCAACCAACACGAAGTATCAACAATAGAAACGGCTATTAATCTGTGACAAAATACAAACATTCTTGAAGAGATAAAAAAAGAACAAGAAGCCGATCCAAAGTTAAAAGCAATCATCAAGTTTTTAGAGAAAGAACCAACAACAGATCTTAATGGCAAACGTAATCCACACATTCTTATCAATGGATTATTATACAAAATAAAAAATCCAAATAAACATTATAATCAACACGCCGTGGGGGAAAAACACCTACTCGTCATCCCGAAAACAATGCAAAAGAAATTACTAGAATGGGCCCACGATCATCCAACAGCTGGACATGGTGGCCAACAGAAAACACTGTTTAGATTAACAACAAGAGTGTATTGGGACTCAATGAGAAAAGACATATTTAACTACGTAAACTCATGTCAAGCATGTCAACAATTTAAATACAACAATGCTCCGACGTCAAGTCCAATGCAACTCCATGTAGTGAATGAACCATGGCACACCATCGGCATGGACATTATGGGCCCTTTACCGGTCACAGCAAGACAAAAACGATTCCTTCTCGTGGTAGTAGATTATTTCACTTGATGGATCGAATTATTTCCATTGAAATCAACCACGTCGGTCGATATAGCTAACATTCTCATCAATGAAATATTCTCAAGATATGGATTACCTAAATACATTGTGTCAGATAATGGTCCGCAATTCGTCTCAAATTTATTTACGAATTTCTGCGATGCATTGGGAATTAAACAGAACTTAACCGCAAATTACCATCCTCAAAGTAATATGACAGAACGGGTGAATCGAACATTAAAACCATTAATTGCCATATATGCTCAACGGCAACCCAATGCATGGGACAAGGAAATTTCAAAATTAGCATTTGCCATCCGAACGGCAGTCAATGAAACAACAGGTGAAACACCAGCATTTATGATGTTCGGTCGAGATCCAAGAGGTCCACTCGATTTATTAATCGAGGGTACAATAGAAGGACCACAACCAACAACTAATGAGCATGTACAAATTAAAGAATACAAGAAGAACTTAATGAACAATTTACGATATGCATATAAGATTATCAAAGAACACTCGGAAATAGAAAAATTAAAACAAAAAGAAAAATACGATAGACATACAAACCAAAGAGAATACACTGAAGGTGATCTCGTATGGGTGGCCACTCCGACAGCACAAATTGGAGAAAATTCAATGGGTGGAAAATTACAACCACATTATCAAGGTCCATGCCGTCTGATCCAGCAATTATCATCAAATACATTCACAGTACGACGGCTAAAGGATAACGTTGAACTTGGTGCAACGAATACGGATCGCCTCAAACCATACATTGTACTAGAGAGAAACAATCAAGAAACAACGACAAGCGACAAAACAATCAATCAAAGAGAAACGACAACGTCAATCAATAACGGCGAGCCATCAATAGATGATCTAGATCAAGGAGAGGTGGGACAAAATCAACAATCAACCTGTCATCAACTAATTCAACGTCGAGTGTCAAATCGTCACCGCAGGGTGCCGACACGATACATGGCGAATTAAACCGCAGCTGATATCATCGATTCGACACGTAAGCAGATGAAAAAAAAAAAAAAATATACATATACATCTACGCTATCAATCATGAACACCAATCGCTTCTAGCGAAAGAAACGAAATTATCATTAAACGATCAATGAATCGAATCGATGCACTTAGAAGAAAAAAAAAAAAAAAAAAGAAAAAGAAAAAGAAGAAGAAGAAGAAAGAAAGAAAGAGGAAGGTGGATTATTTCTCCGTTAACAAGCACCAGCTGCATTTCATAACTTGGTTAAAAGAAGATGCAACACAACACGACGACGCAAATTCTAATGACAATATGTATTATACAAGTCGGTATAGCAACAACAATTCTTCTGCCCAAACGTGATACATTACACAAATCATCGGGCCTTATAATGAAATATTTATCGGAATATAAACCAGCAAACGACGTAACATCCATTTCAATAGCAATTCCCATGGTGAGCGACATGTGCTATATAATACCATTGAAAGCCATGAAAAAAATTCCTCAATGCAACATAAAAACAAGTCAAGAAAAAAATGAACGTGGGACTAAAACAAACGTTATACAACAGCAGGAAAGAAAAAATCATACAATACAGCCACGAAATAAACGATTCATCATGGACATTATTTCAATTGCCATTGGAACAGTTTCAACGGCATTATCAGCCGGCAACATAATACAAATGAATAATCTGCAAAAGGAAATAAAATCAAGCAGAGCATCGATCCACGCACTACAAAACTCAATAAACGGTCACAATACTCAACTCTTTCCACTGACCAACGGTCAAATTAAAATTATAGAAGAACTACGTCATACCCAAGCCGCGTTGAACAACACCATCGTTTTGGTAAATGAATATTCCAATGTGCTTCAACAACATCACATAGCGATTCAAACAATAATGTCAATGATGAGGCTCCTCAGAAAGGAGTTAACAGCTGTGACTCACGCAGTGGAAACTCACTTCATCCACGAGGCCATCGAAGACATCTTCGCCAACAAACTCAACCTGAGGTTTATACATCATTACGACTTACCACGAGTCATACAAATTATCACAGAACAAATCAATATAAATATGGTGGAAACAGATGATACACTTCCAATATTCGAATTGATCAATCGATTATTAATAGAACAACGAATTGAATTCATTCCAAGAAATACCAATGATCTAACAGAGCGAAGCGTAATTGGCGGTCTTTTATTTACATCATTTTTTGCATCATCAAATAAGAACCAAGAATCGTTCTCAACATTCGAACTGATTCCAATACCTTTTAACCAAGGAAATCAAAGGTTAAGACTCGCACAAATACCACATACCGTGAGCATCTCAATCAAAACACTGGAACTAATCCAATGGACGTAAGAAGAAAGCAGTTCATGTCAATTTAAATCATTATCGTCGTGTCGGGAAACACCAGCAATTCAAAAGAATTGGCAGAAAACATGCTTATTCGAGATAATTACAGACTCAAACTTGACGTTATGTCGCATTGAACTCGAACCAGAGCCGATATTTATACAACGAATCGACCAACACTGGGCAATATCGACAAGAAACGAAACAAAGTGTCATCGCGTCCCACAATTGGAGCACGAACAACATGCCATAACAACGAACAATGAAACAATCATTCCCCCGATCGCATTAATCACCATCGATAAATCAACAACATGAAGCTGTGACCACTTCCTATTACCAGGTATAACAAATGGTACGAACAAACGGATCACAATCATTGATGACAGAAAATTGAACTACGATGATTCAAACCTAATCAATTTACATCAAACAATGAACAATAACACACGATGGGAAAAAATTCCGTACACACCAGGAAATATAAAGAATATGATCGAATATGTAATAACAACAGCACCAACAACAACACAATCAACAACATCAGTCTATCAATACGGTTTATCAATAGCGGTTGGCATATTGGGCGTAACAACTATCATCTCAATAGCTCTGTACGTGAAACTACAACACAAAATGAGCAAGACATCAACAACTAAAACGATCACGATGCCACCTATATGAACGACTTCAAAATTACTTCAACAGCAGCAATTCCCGAGAAGAAAATGTCGATCGCCGAGACTTGTAAATATGTACCCGAGCTAAGCCCGAAGACAATTATGTATATAAGGTGTGAATAAATTACACAAAAACAACAAAAAAAAAGTCGAATCATTAGTGTGCTCTTTCACTGATCACTGTCGTATTCATATTGTCTATCTCGTCTGTATCTTTCTTTCCTTTTTGTTTGTTTTTGTTTGTTTGTCATTTTCCTTGGATGTTTCCTTTGTGTGTGTACACCTGAACAGACGCCCAGGAGTGCGTCTTGGCAGAATGGGGGGGGGGGGGGGGGGCCGATATAAGCACTCGCCCTATCTTAGTGAACAACTGTATACAAAATAACTTCTTCCCCTTAGGCACACTGATAATTATCTACACATGTACATCTTTTCCTCTCTCGCGTTTCCTCCTCTCTTTCTCTTTGTCTCTTTCCTTCTCTCCCTCTCTGTTTCTCTCCGTTCCGCCACGGTTGATTGA